TTTAGATCTTTCCTGCTTTCTCTCGTGGGCATTTAGTGTATAAATTTCCCTCTACATACTGCTTTAAATGTGCCCCACCGATTCTGGTATGTTGTATCTTTGTTCTCATTGGTTTCAAATAACATCTTTACTTCTGCCTTCATTTTGTTATGTACCCAGTAGTCATTCAGGAGCAGGTTGTTCAGTTTCCGTGTAGTTGAGTGGTTTTGAGTGAGTTTCTTAATCCTGAGTTCTAGTTTGATTGCACTGTGGTCTGAGAGACAGTTTGTTATAATTTCTGTTTTTCACATTTGCTGAGGAGTGCTTTTAGACCAATATTCCTGATAAACATCGATGCAAAAATCCTCAATAAAATACTGGCAAACCGAATCTAGCAGCACATCAAAAAGCTTATCCACCATGATCAAGTGGGCTTCATCCCTGGGATGCAAGGCTGGTTCGAAATATGCAAATCAATAAACGGAATGCAGCATATAAACAGAACCAAAGACAAAAACCACATGATTATCTCAATAGATGCAGAAAAGGCCTTTGACAAAATTCAACAGCCCTTCATGCTAAAAACTCTCAATAAATTCGGTATTGATAGAATATATCTCAAAATAATAAAAGCTATTTATGACAAACCCACAGCCAATATCATACTGAATAGGCAAAAACTGGAAGCATTCCCTTTGAAAACTGGCACAAGACAGGGATGCCCTCTCTTACCACTCCTATTCAACATAGTGTTGGAAGTTCTGACCAGGGCAATCAGGCAGGAGAAAGAAATAAAGGGTATTCAATTAGGAAAAGAGGATGCCAAGTTGTCCCTGTTTGCAGATGACATGATTGTATATTTAGAAAACCCCATCATCTCAGCCAAAAATATCCTTCAGCTGATAAGCAACTTCAGCAAAGTCTGAGGATACAAAAACAATGTGTAAAAATCACAAGCATTCCTATACACCAATAACAGACAAACAGAGAGCCAAATCACGAGTGAACTCCCATTCACAATTGCTTCAAAGAGAATAAAATACCTAGGAATCCAACTTACAAGGGATGTGAAGGACCTCTTCAAGGAGAACTACAAACCACTGCTCAGTGAAATAAAAGAGGACATAAACAAATGGAAGAACATTCCATGCTCACGGATAGGAAGACTCAATATCGTGAAAATGGCCATACTGTCCAAGGTAATTTATAGATTAAATGCCATCCCCATTAAGCTACCAATGATTTTCTTCACAGAATTGGAAAAAACTCCTTCAGAGTTCATATGGAACCAAAAAAGAAGCCATATTGCCAAGACAATCCTAAGCCAAAAGAAGAAAGCTGGAGGCATCACACTACCTGACTTTAAACTATACTACACGGCTACAGTAACCAAAACAGCATGGTACTGGTACCAAAACAGAGATATAGACCATTGGAACAGAACAGAGCCCTCAGAAATAATACCACACATCTACAACCATTTGATCTTTGACAAATCTGACAAAAACAAGAAATGGGGAAAATATTCCCTATTTAATAAATGGTGCTGGGAAAACTGGCTAGCCATATGTAGAAAGCTGAAACTGGATCCCTTCCTTACACCTTATATGAAAATTAATTCAAGATAGATTAGAGACTTAAATGTTAGACCTAAAACCATTAAAACCCTAGAAGAAAACCTAGGGAATACCATTCAGGACATAGGCATGGGCAAGGACTTCACGTCTAAAACACCAAAAGCAATGGCAACAAAAGCCAAAACTGACAAATGGGATCTAATTAAACTAAAAGAGCTTCTGCACAGCAAAAGAAACTACCATCAGGGTGAACAGGCAACCTACAGAATGGGAGAAAATTTTTACAATCTACTCATCTGACAAAGGGCTAATATCCAGAACCTACAAAGAACTCAAACAAATTTACAAGAAAAAAACAAACAACCCCATCAAAAAGTGGGCAAAGGATATGAACAGACACTTCTCAAAAGATGACATTTATGCAGCCAACAGACACATGAAAAAATGCTCATCACCACTGGCCATCAGAGAAATGCAAATCAAAACCACAATGAGATACTATCTCACACCAGTTAGAATGGCAATCATTAAAAAGTCAGGAAACAACAGGTGCTGGAGAGGATGTGGAGAAATAGGAACACTTTTACACTGCTGGTGGGACTGTAAACTAGTTAAACCATGGTGGAAGACAGTGTGGCGATTCCTCAAGGATCTAGAACTGGAAATACCATTTGACTCAGCCATCCCATTAGTGGGTATATACCCAAAAGATTATAAATCATGCTGCTATAAAGACACACGCACACGTATGTTTATTGTGGCACTATTCACAATAGCAAAGACTTGAAACCAATCCAAATATCCATCAATGACAGACTGAATTAAGAAAATGTGGCACATATACACCATGGAATACTATGCAGCCATAAAAAAGGATGAGTTCGTGTCCTTTGTAGGGAAGTGGATGCAGCTGCAAACCATAATTCTCAGCAAAGTAACGCAAGAACAGAAAACCAAACACCGCATGTTCTCACTCATAGGTGGGAATTGAACAATGAGAACACTTGGACTCAGGGTGGGGAACATCACACACTGGGGCCTATTGTGGGGTGTGGGGAGGGGTGAAGGATAGCATTAAGAAATATACCTAATATAAATGATGAGTTAATGGGTGCAGCACACCAACATGGCACATGTATACATATGTAACAAACCTGCACATTGTGCACACGTACCCTAGAACTTAAAGTATAATTTAAAAAAAAAATTTAAAAAAAGGACAGTGGTTAAAATACAGGCTTTTGCTTTACATACACACGAGTTTCAGTGCTAAGTTCAATAAGTGCCTTCTGTGTAGCTGGGGCAAAGTTAGTAACCCTTTCGGCGCATCAATTTCCTCTTCCGTGAAAGACTCAAGGTTGTTGTGAGGATTAAATGAAAAAGCCTGTTCAGAGCCAAGTGCACGGTGATTGACACTCAGTGAATAGTAGCTACAAAGGGTCACATCAGTTTTGACAACAAGACATGTTCTATTTAGGTGGACATAACAATGATCTACCTTTAGTTATATGTTATTCCTTTAAAAAGTGGTAAACAATAGCAACTGTGTGGAAGTAGACTGTTTAATAGTCTTTTGTTCCAAACTAAATAAAAGTATTTACTTAATCATTGAACAAATATAATATTTAGAAAATATCAGAACCAGTTTTTTGTTGTTGTTCGTTTGAGAAGGCACCTTGCTCTGTTGCCCTAGCTAGAGTGCAGTGCTGTGATAACAGCTCATTGCAGCTTCAACCTCCTGTGCTCAAGTAATCTTCTCACTTCAGCTTCCCAAGTAGCTGGGACTACAGATACACACCTGGCTACCTTATTAAAAAAATTGTAGCAACAGGGTCACACGATGTCTCCCAGGTTGGTCTCAAACTCCTGGGCTCAAGTAGTCCTCCTGCCTCCTGCGATGGCCTCCCAAAGTGGTAGGATTACAGGTGTAAGCCTCCGTGCCTACCTAGAACCAAATTATTTTTAAAAGATGATACTAAAGATTTTTCAAAGTATATAATGAGTATAGGAAATATTAGTAATATTAATAACTATTCATTTTATACTAATAGTTTGTCATTTTCCTTGATAAAATCTCCTTTCACCTCATGCTTATATGTTCTGGTTGGCATAACAGAAGAAAAGTCAAAGGAAAAGGAAAAATAGGAGGCAACAATAGAAGAAAATGAGAAAAAAACTAATGTTCATAGTGTAGATAAATGCTACTATGCAAAACTTTACTATGCTGAAGAAAAATGTTGACAATGAAAAAAATTAGAATAAGTATATACAGTTTTTAAGTAATGGTAAACATGAAGGGGATATTTCTAGGGCATCCAAAGAAAAGAGACAAAAAGAGAGAAAGCTTTTAAAATAACCCGAGATACATTCATACATCATTAAAAAGTGAGATCTTGCGTTACATACACCAAACGACATTATAGGGATAATGCTGTCTAATTCATTGTAAAAGCAAAACAACTAAAGCAAATCAACCTTATGATTAGTGTTGCACTGGCAGTGCTGATGGTCATAATTATCATAGTGGTTGTGAGTGATTCATGCATGGCAATTGCCACTAAAATTGAAACTAATTATGTAGTAAGTCAAAGTTTGTTCCATTTAGGAAGTTTCAGAACATGACTGTTGGTAAAACAACTAAACATTTTATTAAGAAAAGTACCTTTCTGCTGCCAAAGATAATTGCATTTTAGTATTTATGAAAAAACTGTTCACACCATTACCTGAAAATGCAGAGTCTGTAACAATTAATACAAAATTTGGAAATAGAGATCTGGATGATTTTGTATAATTAATTATGAAGGAAACATATGTCATTATAGAGATGTCATTGCATTATCATAAATACTATCTCACAGGTCAGTAGAGACTCTGTAATTTCAAAAAATAATAAAATATCAACTTTGACATTATATAAGAAAAAGAAAAACATATAAAAGATAAAGAAAATATAAAATTAAGAAAGTCATTGGTTTTTCTCTATGGAAATTATAAAACAGAAATGATAATATCTGCACAATAATTCAGAAGACAGTTATTTATGGACATTGAAATTGCTGATATATTCAGATTGCCATGTAAATGTTGTTAAATTAAATTAGCAGGAGGCCATTAGCCTGAGGTTGTCTCTTTGAGTTTCTGCAAAACAAACTACAACCTAACTTAGTATGTACACAAACTATAATAAAACTTAGGAGTATAACAAACAATAGAGCTTCAGCCAGTCATAGGCAGGCAACTAATCACAACATTCCGAAATAAGGCAGATGCCTAGCAGTATAGCCAATCACGGGATTCCCTAAAGCGCTTCTGTGTTTCACTCATAAAAACTTGCTCAAACTCAGGCAGAGCTCTCTGAACCTTTTCTGGTTCTGAGTGCTACCTGATTTATAAATCATTTCTGCAAAAATAACTCTGCTAAATTTAATTTGTCTAAATTAACAGTTCGGTGTCAGAAGTGGGATGTGGAGGAAACCTCACACGACCCTCAGAAGCGCCAAGTGATCAAGCAAAGGTACTTGCTGCGTCCATTATGTCCATTGCTCTCTTGCAACAAGTAAAGGTTGTGGGTGAGTTTTCTCTTAGATTTGAGCTCCTCAAATTTGTGTTTTGAGCTCCCTGATTTTATTTCAACAATTATTTGATATGACTGTGCCCAGGCTCATATTGAACCTCACAATAAAACTAGACTGGATCCAATAGCTCAGGTTACTACCTAAAATTGTAAGTTCATCTGTGTCCAAGGTATATAGAACTCCCCCATCTAGAACACCAGCTGATTTCCTATATAAGAACTATGGACCTAGAATCTTTGTTTTTGTACAGAAATGGGTAAACTTTACCAAAGGTAACTTAGAGTTACATTGGCTACAGTGAGAAAACTCTTTAGAAAAGTCATGATGCATGTCTTTGTATCTATGGGACTAAGAGGTCCACCTTGTGTGTATTTTAAAACCCAAACTGAGAGATTTCAAACTAGAACCTTGTGCCCTGAGATTTCTGCCTTTACTGTAAACTGCCAGGCTATTGGAAAAGAAATTGCCCATATTTTCACCAGCCATCTGATGAATGCACTCACATTGGCCTGGAATGTTTCCCTACTAGAAAAAGTACTTAAGGGCTTGACTCCCAGGACAATAACCAACCAATCCCTCAGATTAAAAAAAGCATATTTCTGTGGTGCGAGTTTCAAGTCAAGCCCCCAAAAGTCTATAGTTTTAATCTATCCAATTGATATTTGTATCTTTTCAGAAAAACGTTTGTCAGAATTAATTGTTTTTTTCTATTCAATCCTGCTTCACCCAGTGGAATTACTCAGTCAACTAAAAAGCCTTATTTTTGTTTTAAGTACTTGCCATGGCCATCTTGTCTTAACTGGGCTTTTAGCTATGCCATTCTTTCTTGATTTAGGCAGACTACAGTATTTAAGCCTAAAATTTAAGCTCTGTGACTTTAAAATTTAACCCTGACTTCTGTAGGACCTCATAGATATCATTTTAAAATGCAAGAATAGAGAAAATGATAATGATGAAGGAGAAAGAGGAGAAGAGGGAGGAGAAGAAGGGGAAGGAGAAGAGGAAGAACAAAGAAGGAAGAGGAAGGGAGGGAGGGAGGGAGGAGATGAGGAAGAAGAAGAGTGGTAGGAGGAGGAAGAGTAGGAGGAGGAAAAAGAAGAGGAAGAGGAGGAGGAGGAGGAGATATTTGAAAATTGAACAAATGAAAAAATCTTAAAAGTTTTCCCACAAATATTAGTAGAATATTTAGTCATCTAGGAAAGCAATCTTGTTCCATGTATAAAAAAAAAGAATTTGACTCCTGATCTTTAATAAATTAGTGAGTTTCATATTATTGTACCTGAAACATGGTTTAACTTTTCAAATAAAAGCTATAAGAAAGGTTTCTGTCTGTCTATATATTTTTGTCTAATTGTCTGTATGTTATGTATGTGTGATATTTTTCTACCACCTTACAGGATTGCCAAAATCAAATTGTAAAAGAGCTCTTTTTAATGATGGCCATTCTAACTGGTGTGAGATGGTATCTCATTGTGGTTTTGATTTGCATTTCTCTGATGGCCAGTGATGATGAGCATTTTTTCATGTGTCTGTTGGCTGTATGAATGTCTTCTTTTGAGAAATGTCTGTTCATATCCTTTGCCCACTTTTTGATGGGGTTGTTTTTTTTTAAGTCAGGAAACAACAGGTGCTGGAGAGGATGTGGAGAAATAGGAACACTTTTACACTGTTGGTGGGATTGTAAACTAGTTCAACCATTATGGAAAACAGTATGGCGATTCCTCAAGGATCTAGAACTAGATGTACCATACGACCCAGCCATCCCATTACTGGGTATATACCCAAAGGATTATAAATCATGCTGCTATAAAGACACATGCACACACGTATGTTTATTGCGGCACTATTCACAATAGCAAAGACTTGGAATCAACCCAAATGTCCATTAGTGACAGACTGGATGAAGAAAATGTGGCACATATACACCATGGAATACTATGCAGCCATAAAAAGGATGAGTTTGTGTCCTTTGTAGGGACATGGATGTAGCTGGAAACCATCATTCTTAGCAAACTATCACAAGAACAGAAAACCAAACACCGCATGTTCTCACTCATAGGTGGGAACTGAACAATGAGATCACTTGGACTCGGGAAGGGGAACATCACACACCGGGGCCTATCATGGGGAGGGGGGAGGGGAGAGGGATTGCATTGGGAGTTATACCTGATGTAAATGACGAGTTGATGGGTGCTGACGAGTTGATGGGTGCAGCACAGCAACATGGCACAAGTATACATATGTAACAAACCTGCACGTTATGCACATGTACCCTAGAACTTAAAGTATAACAATAAAAAAAAATACTACAGAAAAAAAAAAGAACTGTAGAAAATACAGGTGATGGAGGAACACGTTAAATAATACCATTAAGAAACAATCAAACAAATCATGATTGTGGAATATTCTATAAGACAGTTGGGCTGGGTTCTTCAAAAAGTCATTGTTGTGGGAAAAACAGTATTGGTGGTGGACTGGTACCAGTCTTGATTAAGAGAATAGACATTATAAGGGCAAAAAAAAAGAAAAAAAAAATAAGAGCTCTGTAAAATTGGCTTAAAAAAATGAGCACTTGCGTAAATTAGATATTCCTTAAACTCTTAGAAAGAAACTAACGCAAATTATTTTCAAATTTACATGAGCTGGGATACTCTTTGGTAAATAAAAGTTAATTAAAGTGTGTGAGTTTGATTAAAGCAGGTACATCTCCAGATTTTTCAACACTAGATATAATTTAGATGCACAACTTTTTCTACCTAGGTTTATTAGTAAAACAAGCTTATGTTATCTCTATATTAAAAAAATTGTCAGCAAGGAAAATAACTTACGATGATGGCTAGTTGTTTAATGTCTCATCTTCATAAGCAATCCAAGCATAATCATAAAAACAAGTGAATTAAATAGATGTAAGTAATCTAAAATTCCCAGGAGAATGATGTCCTTCCTATACTAGCTGGTTTTAACGTTCTTTTATCATCAAGAAGAGAAAGTTGGCCGGGCGCGGTGGCTCACGCCTGTAATCCCAGCACTTTGGGAGGCCGAGGCGGGCAGATCACGAGGTCAGGAGATTGAGACCATCTGGCTAACACGGTTAAACTCCATCTCTACTAAATAAATAAATTAGCCAGGCATGGTGGCAGTCGCCTGTAGTGCCAGCTACTCGGGAGGCTGAGGCAGGAGAATGGCATGAACCCGGGAGGCGGAGCTTGCAGTGAGCCGAGATCGCACCACTGCACTCCAGCCTGGGCGACAGAGCGAGACTCCGTTCCCGCCCCGGCACTCCCGCCCTGCCGGGGGAAAAAAAAAAAAAAGAGGAAGTTGAGGCTAAATCTGTACAAATAACCACTTAAAGTGACCTACTAAAAAAAAACTCTGTAAGGACAGAGATAAAATGTTGCCTCTTCTATAGTTTCTCATTACAGAGACCAAAGGTAGTTTAAACTGTTAGTACACATGTTCTGTCATACCAAAAAAAGTGTACTATGAAAAAGCACATGTTTCTAGAAATTATGATTCATGGATTTGCCAATCTACAGAAAGCTGGTGTGATATACCTCAGTTGCTTGCTTCCTTCCTAGTGTTCCCTGTAAATTAAGGTCACTAAGAGTTCATTATTTGAATTCATACATAAAACTAAAATTACTAGAAATAATGAGAAAAACCATTCTAAATTCAAATATATAAAGATGGCAAGCTATGTTTTTGGTAAGAAAAGCTATAAAGTATAAAGTTGTGTTTTTGTTGTTTGTTAAATAAAAATATATATATATATTTCTTTGTCCTAAAGCATAAGAAATGGCTGTTTCAAAATGGGAAAAAGAAAAAGTATAAAACAAAAACTGAATGGATGTAAGGGTGTTGTAGAAGGAATGGACAGATATTTTATGTGTGATCAAACTGGCCGCAATTAGTAGGGAATCATTTTTAAGTCTTCTAAAAAATTAAGGTTTTATATCAAAAGTATGCTGATACAAAACAAGAATTTGATTCTCTGTGTTAAAACAACGAGGTTTACTTGGAGTCTTGGTCTGCTTTTAGTAGAAAATTGTGAAAGGCTTTCCTTTTAGATAATTGATCTAGGAAACAAATATTCTGTATTTTATCAAGATAATTTCCAATGCTTCATACAGTCTGTAAAGGATCTTTCATTTCTTAAGAAAAGTGAGTTCTGTTTACTAAATGAACTAAGGTTTTTCTTTCCTATAACTATGTACCTTTCTGCATTTGTCTTTAAATATTTTAATTATTACTCTAGCTAAATGAGTAAGCATTGTTTCACAGTGCCATGTAATCCTATTTTAATCAAGTATTTAAAACCTCTTATTTTTCACGACTTCCCAAAATCAAAGTCTAAATTAGGATCTTTTGACTTTGAACTAACTTAGGGAGTTTTCCCACAGGCCATAGAATTATCTCAAAATAATTTTTTTCTTTCTTTCTCTTTATTTAAAGAGAGGTGTAAAACTAATTAGGCTTATCTAACATGTTAAATGGCATGGGAAACACTGTCAAATAAGTGATACTAAACCTTATTAATGTGATACTAAACACATATTAATAACATATCATGTAATATAACAGGTTTCTGATAACTGTAAGATCCCACTATTTGACTAGATAAGAATTCCCAGAATTTTAATGTAGAAACTGATTGGCACCTAAATTGCTAACCCAACATCAAGTAGAAGAAGAATTAATTTGAATGCCAAGGAAATATTGTTGCAGATTTTCGTGGTAAGTCAGCCAATACTGAAATTGTTAAGATACTGTGTTAATTTTGCATTGCTATAAATGAGTACCTTAGGTTGGACAATTTATTTTAAAAAAAAAAAGATTTATTTGACTCATGGTTCTGCAGGCTGTATAAGCATGGCACCAGTATCTGTTTGGCTTCTGGTGAGGCCTCAGGAAGCTTATAGTCATGACAGAAGGAGAAAGGGGACCTGCTGTATCACATAGTGAGAAAGGAAGCAAGAGAGTGAAGGGGGAGGTCCCAGATACATTTTTACCAATGAGCTCTCATATGGACTCATTACCAGAGGCGGAGCACCATGCCATTCATGAGGAATCCATCCTCATGACCCAAACAGCTCTCACTAGGTTCCATCTCCAACACTGGGGATTACATTTTAACATGAGATTTGGAGGGGACAAACATACAAACCATATCATATATGCAATTTAAGTGAACACAGTAAGATTGACCCAAGTCAAATTATCTATGACAACCTATTTAATAAATAGTGCTATATACCTGAAATGAAGAAACAAAGGTGTTATTTACAAGTAAATTCAATGTTAATTGTACACCCATGGAGGACCCAGATGACTACTTGGTCCTTCCTGAGTCCTTAAATCTTCCATTATTTAAAACTATGCACTCCACGAATCATTATGGAAATTTCAAAATGTCTTAAATTATGAAAAAAAAATCGGAGTGACTAGCCTAAAATTGCTAAAATGATTTGTAAGCATTTTTTGGTTTGTCAAACCCATAATTCTGGGAACACAATCAACTCTTTAGGTGTTACATTTCTACCAATAAACCATTTAAACTTTTACAAATGGATTTCACTCAATTGCCACCTATCCCATTGAAGGGATATCAATGTGTTCTTGTAGTTTGTATGTTTCCTGGTTGGACAGAAGCTTTCCTGTATGGGAAAGTCAATGCTATGACAGTAACTAAGAGATCATTATAAATGTTTTTCTTTTATGGGGTATTCCTGTATTTCCAGTGATGGAGGCACTCATTTCAATGGGCAGATCATCAAACAGTTAAATAAGATATCACAAACACAATGGCATTATGCAAAACTAACTGAATAGACTGGTTTGCCTTGGGCAAATGTATTACTGCTGTCCTTGATGGAAATAAGATCCACTCCCCCTGGAAAACACCAATTATGAAATCTTATAAAATAGTCACTGGAAGGCCTTTACCCATAATAATAGAGCTGTCTGTACCTCCCGTTCTTATAAATGACTAAATATTGCCAAGCTTTAATGTGTTATGCCAGAGTATATGTTTACCATGTAAAAAAAAAAAGCCCTCTGTGACCCACCAACTGATGATAACCAAATTTTTCATGATCCAGGACACAGAGAATGGGTCTATTGGAAATGACACCAGGGAAAGACTGCCCCTGAGCCCCACTGGAAGGAATGATACCAAGCTCTTTTAAGCAGTCATACTGCAGCAAAAGTTTATAACCTTCAGTCTCGGCTCCACATCTCTCAACTCAAGAGGATTCCTCCAAGACTGCACTTCTGGAGACCTCAAGGCAAAACTGACCAAAGAGATTTCTCTTCAGAAGAAGATGACATCCTAGATGTGGCCAATTTTCCCAAAACAAGGATCAAAACTTCTCCCCACTCTCATTATGAAAACTTTGTCTTTTTCCCAAGTCTTTGCTATTGTGAATAGTGCTGCAATAAACATACGTGTGCATGTGTCTTTATAGCAGCATAATTTATAATCCTTTGGGTATATACCCAGTAATGGGATGGCTGGGTCATATGGTAAATCTAGTTCTAGATCCTTGAGGAATCGCCATACTGTTTTCCATAAACCTGACGTAAATGATGAGTTGATGGGTGCAGCACACCAACATGGCACAAGTATACATATGTAACAAACCTGCACGTTATGCACATGTACCCTACAACTTAAAGTATAATAATAAATAAATAAATAAATAAATAATAAAAAATAAAAAATAAAAAAAATTAAAAAAAAAGAAAACTTTGTCTTTTTTATTTTTTCTCTGTGTTTCTTTTCTGTTTACAAATGGTAAGATAATGCCAAAATCCAGATTTCACAGTTGATAACTTCTGTAGAAAACCTAACTGCATGTTGACTATGTCATGTTAAACCAGTATCCCCACATGATCTTAGAGATCCTCCATTTCACACTAAAACAAAATTTACTGATATTCCAAATGTGACCATTTTCGCATATTGTAGATTTGGTTCTTCTATAGGGTTAAACTTTTAGATTCACATATTCATATTCCTTGTTTAAAGCTACCAGTAGCCAAAACATATAGTGAGGGTTTTGCAGTTAATTCTGCCAGAAATTAAATAAGAACAACAAAAGATAGTTTGACATTTTGTAGACAAATATATACCCTAATTGTTGATGGCCTCTAACCATGCAATGATTTGATAATAAAGTCCTGGATAAATTTTACTAGTGCTTTCCTACTAGTGACCCTTAAATCACAAGACATCTTAAAGGGAACTGTGGCTGTGGCCCTTGAAGATATATTTTTATTTGTAGAGAATTTAACAATCAGCCATATGCATAGAAATTCCATGTCTCAAAAAGTGGCTAATCTGGGTTAAGGATTTTAATGGCACCACTCACTCCACAATCAATTGGAAACTGATAATTGATCTATACATTTCATTTTTCACTGTAAAATAAATAAGATTTTTCTAGCAGGTGTTAATAGCTGTAAATGAGCATCTTTGGGTAGAACACTCCTTTCCTGGCTGGGCATAAATATAATAAAGTTATGGTTAGAAATCAGTCTCAAATATTAACTGATAGAGCTGACTATACTGCAAACACTATGACTGCCTAGTACATTTCTTTAAGTTCTCTTGATAAGGTTGTTTTAGATAGCAAGATTGCTTTGGACTACCTGTTGGCTGAACAGCAGGGAGTATCTGCAATAGCTAACACCTCTTGCTGCACATGGATACATACATCTGGTATAGAAACTAATTTGCAAGAATTCAACAAACAAGCTATTTGGTTAAAACAAGCAGATTTCTCTTCTGGTTTATTTTTTGATTTATGTGATTTTAGTTCATTTGATTTACAGGGCTCCTGCTATGGAGTAAACTTCAGTGTCTAGGTATTATTCTTCTGATAGTCATCATAGTAGTCTCCCAGGTACACTGTATTCTCTCAAGAGCCTTAAATGCTTGTGTGTAGCCATTCACTGTGTATCAAACGGTCTTACTTTGGTTAGAACCACAAAAGCACAAAGAGAACATAATCATTTAGCTGACTCGATGTTGTACCTAGTGAGTTCTATACTGAGACCAAAAATGTCCACTATGATGGTGATAAACAGTAGCATCAGTGCCCAAGGTTTGCATCAATCTCTCAAGATTGAGAGGCTGACCACAAAAGGGAATTGTCAAAGTAAATAAGCAAGAGGCCATTGCCCTGAAGTCTTCTTTGTACTTTGAGTTCCTAGATAACCAACTGCAACCTAACTAGTACAGAAATAAACCAAAACTAAATTTAGGAGTATAACAGACAAATTTCAGCCAATGAGTCGCAGCCAACTCATCACACCATGCCCAAATGAGGCAGGTGCCTAGCTCTAGTCAATCAGATAATTTCCCTACTTTGCTTCTGTTTTTGGCTCATAAAAGCTTGTTGCTCACACTGAAAGGTGGAGCTCTCTGAACCACTTTTGGTTCTGAGTGCTGCCCAATTCATGAATTATTCATTGTGCAAATCAACTCTGCTAAATATAATTTGTCTAACATTCTTCTTTTAATAATGTTTAATTATTAGGATACACTTTGTTAATATAGATAATGTAATATAAAGATAATAGACTAGGCTAAATTGTTACAATTATACCACTTTGCTTTTCATTGTTCTGTTTTTCTCCAAAGTACTTTTGGCTTAAAGTGAATTGGATGTCAAATAGACCATCTTTGCCACTTCTTGCTGCAAGTGTGTAAATTTATAAGTAAAAGACTACTCATCTTCAAAGTTATATAGGGACAGCTTTTTTCAATAGTTCTCTAGTCAATTCCAGTGTTTCATTCACTCGGTAGACAAGAAATCCTTCTTTACCTATGCAGTGTAGTATTAAACAGGGTTGCCAATGAAAACAATGTGAGCCACATATGTAGTTTTAGCATATTTAGTAGCCACATTTTATGAAGTAAAAAAGGTAAGTTTGTAGTAATAATTTATTTAATCTAATATATCCAAAATGTTATAATTTTAACATATACTCAATGTACAACTTACTAGTACAATATTTTATATTCTTCGTTTGTTACCACATATTTGAAATCCAGTTTGTAATTTACACATAGAGCACATCTCAATTTTTACTGGCCACATTTCAAGGGCTCAATAGTTCCATGTAACTATCTGCTATCACATTGGACGGTGTTAGGTTCAGAAGAAAGTGTTTTGAGTCAGAAAATCTGGTATTACAATCTACCTGCTCAGTCATCCATGTAACATGGTAAAGGTTTTTAACCTTTCTAAAAAAATAATATGTTTTACATCACAGTGTTTTAAAAATACTAAATGTGACAACATATATAAATTCTTTTTCTCACAGTTTCTGACTCTCAGGAAACATTTAATAAATGTTAGTTCTCTTCCTATAAATCATTCTGAAATTTCTCATTGTGTTTGAAAAAAACTGTTTTGTTTATTCAGCATACATCACACATCCATCCATCCATCCACAACTCTTTGGAAAACTAAAAACACTAATGAAAGCATCTTTATTGCAGTAGTTACATGTAACATCTTATTTAACTCACTCTTCTTCCCCCACTATCATCCAGAAACTCCTACTTTTCTTTTGTTTCCTATAGCACTTATCAACAACCAACAAACTATATAAATATGTGATTGATAATGCTTCATATTGACTTTCTTTCCCCCTTTGCTACAATGTCAGCCACATGATGGCAGAGATTCTTCTCTGATTTATTCAACAGATATTTCAAGTACCTAGAAGAGTGCCTCAAAAAATGGACTTCAATAAATATTTCTTGGATGAATGAATGATTGAAGAAACATTTTTTAAATCATGCCAATGTACATTATTTTACTTTTGTGTCACCCACCTGTGAAAACGCCTCCATTTATTCACATACGTTTTCAATGTGGTGACTGAAGCATCACAGAAATCCCAGATGTTTCACTTTAACACTCTCAGGATTTATTGTTATCATGACTATTCATAGTAGTTAACTCCTCTTGAGTATCCAAACACTAACCAGTATTAAACAGAAATTTGTTCCGAATTGGCATCACAATAAATTCCAATGTATTGTTTAAAAATCATATTAAATTAAAGAAGAATTTATGTATCACATTCTTTGTTACGTTTCAATACAACTTGAAAACCTAGTGAAGAGATACTATTATTTCTTGTCTTCTATCTGGTGTACAACTCCCCTGATATTTTCTAAATAATCAGTTCTAATTCCACACTAGGTTTCATATTGTTAGGTTTTTTCACTACATTTGATCGCATTCATACTTTGTGGGAACCATTTTTCTAAACACCTTTATTTTGAAAATTTTTACATTTATACCAAAGTAGAAATAATAGACTAATGAACTCCTACCTACCCAAAACCCAGCTTTAACCATCTTCAACCCATGGTAATATCATTTGGATATTGGTTCCTGCCTAAATCTCATGCTTAACTGAAATCCCCATTGCTGGAGTTGGGGCCTGGTGAGAGGTGACTGGATCATGGCGGAAGAATCCTCTCTCATGGCTCAGTGCTCTCTTTGTGAGTTCTCTGGAGATCTGGTCATTTAAAAGTGTGTGGCACCTCCTCTCCCCACCACTCTCTCTCTTGCTCCTGCTTTCACCATGCAATGTGCCTGCTCCCCCTTCACCATCTGCCATAATTGCAAGCTTCCTGAGGCCTTCCCAGAAGCCAAGCAGGTGTTGGCACTATTCTTCCTGTAAAGGCTGTAGAACTATGAGTCAACTAAATCTCTTTATCAATTACCCCGTCTCAGGTACTTCTTTATAGCAATGCAAGGATGGCCTAATATACATGGTCCATCTTGCTTTGTCTCTATTTCCACCCACATTTTCAATACTACAAAATTATTTGAAAGCAAGCCTGGTATCAAATTGCACCATCTTTAAATACTTCAGTATATATTTTTATCAGATAATGACTTCTTATTAGTAGCATATTACAGTTAACAACACTTATAATATCTAACCAACAGAAAATATATTTTATGTTAATATTTACTTAAATATATACACACATTTGCATTGGAATATACATGTATATATGGGAATACATATATATAGGTGATATATATATCACCAATATTTAAATATCATGATAAAAATGGTTGCACTTGTATGGTACACTGGTGTCATTAGATAAGTATGATTGATGCTGACTTCCAAATCAATGCCTTCTACAGGTGCATCTGATTGATAGTTTTCATCCTAAGTACACAAGAAGTTGAATGAGATTGGGCTCATATATCTGGATAATAAACCCAGTGACAGTTCTCTAAAGAGCAATGAGCAATATGATTTTTGTCCATTGTGCTGAGCTCTATTTCTTCCAGGGATAACTGTTCTTTTCACATCCTCTACTTTCTCTTTCATGACATTAGTTGTCTTCAAATGTGTGGTGATTCTTGGTTGTTTATTTAAGCTCATCAATGAAAGTCTTTGTTGCTTAGGACACA